CCTCGTATTTTGGTTGCAATCGGCCGCACCAAACGTATATAAATATATTTATATATATATCCACTCTCTTACCCGGCTCAGTGATCTCAGTTTCTTTACTCTTATATTTTTGTAAATTGTACATTTTTTGCTTTAAAAATGATTGAATTATGTTGTTTTTATTTTCCGGTTAAGGATTTTATGCCTTTAGTAAATCTGTGTGCAATATTTTTAGAATTATCAGCAATTTTAAAGTTGTTTAATTGCCGCTAAGCCTGTTTTTAATGGCGGCCATTGATGTTTACATTTGAAACAGGAGACTAGTGGATTTGTTGCCAATCCAGAGAAACTTAGCTTCGCAACAACAAAGATAACGCATTCATTTATTTTTGCCAATTAAATCATGCTTAATTCTTTCTGGAATTTTTTCGAGGAAATAAGTGTTTGAGATTTACTTCGTAATTTTCGATATAGATATTTTGAGTTTTTATGTATTTTTGCCTTCTCGCGAAGTGAGAACTGAATTAATTGAATGAGAAATACTCAATCGTCTGTGAAAAACTGTTTCTTTTTTGATTTGTTTGCTTAATTTCTTTTATACATCATTCTAGCTTTATTATAGTATTTGAATAGAACATGTGGCAACGATTAGATAATTCTATTCTTTAAATGATATACATTTTGTGCATTCTGAGTTCTAATATGAATGAAATATAATACTGTTAAGTAAACCTAGCGCCAGAGTGTCGCTATGGTAAACAAAGTGAATTTTAAAGAATGCATTTATTCTATTGTGGTTATGCGCTGTCGGCGAAATAGGTTTCATTCAATCTAATAAGTATAAATAAAATGCAAGAAAAAATGCGCATAATTTAATATTCCGTACAAGGAAGTCATGTTGGTGTACACATAAGATTTTTTAATTTTACTCAAAAAAGTGTTGTGGTCCGTCAGCTGCTTTCAGACAGAACATGCGGCTCGCATGCAGTTTGAGTTTGAGATCACTATGTTAAAGAATGATTATCCGAAATTTTATGTCGTTCTTCCTCAGTCACCATCAAAAAGGAAGGATACTTTGTAGTACATACATGTATGTATTTAGTTGACTCCTCCTTTCCAAGTAAATTAAGTGCCTTTAAGCACTTCGGGATTGATCGGGATTTAAACACAAATTTATTGTTTTAGTAGCAGGTGCTATACTAGCTACATCAATTACTGTTATGTTAAAATACAAATATTTCAGACATCAAGTATTCAGATTTTAGATATCAAATGTCATTCATGGAGTATGAGAAATTAAACGCTATAATTAATTCTAAATATTTCATGTAAATAAATATGTGGGGGAAAATAATTACTTTGTGTAATATCTTTTAATAATACATATATGTATATATTATAAAGCAAGAAATTTAGAACTAATGTTTCACAAAGACGAAAATTTTGAAATGCATAATTCATAAATTTCAAATAATCTAATGAATGCAACAAAGAATTTAATAAATGTAAAAACCAAAACTTTTAAACAATCAATATCCCAATTCAAAAAATTCCTTAAAGAAATTAAAAGAAAAAGAACATAACAGAAGAGTAATTAAATCAACTTCGAAAATACTAGGCATATTTATATTTTGTTTTTTTAAAAATTTTTTCTAATTATATATATATATATATATGTGTGTGTGTGTGTGTGTATATATATAATATAAAAAATACGTAAATAAAAATTATGACACTTAATTAGTAATAGTCCCTTAATTCCTCATTTTAATTTGGGGATTTCCCTTCTCTAGTCTAAAAATAGTAATAATTTTTCATAATGATGATGACGTAACTCATTCGGAACACAAACCGAAACCTTTTCTCTTAATAAGCTTCCGTACTGAGCTAACTACGCACTTAGCTTCTACTTCTGTTCTCGCTAAGACGTTGCCTTGGTGCCTTTTTCCTAACCCAATAATATCAAAAGTGTACATATTCTTGAAAAGGCAGGACTAGTGTGTCAGTTTGTTTGTAGCCTTCAAAATGTTTATTAAATATAAAGAAATAATTGGACTCCCTCAGCTGTTAAATTTGTTCTCCATTATATTCAACATCTTCAATAACTATGCTATCGACTTTCATACATCATTATACCTAAGTCCGCTTCATTTACATATATAATTTAGTTTTTATATAAAATGTTTCTTTCATAATGTATATATATGTGTGTGATGTACCAGCTTTTGTCCGGAATAAATAGATTGGTGAAGAATCATAGATGTAGTCGTAGCTTAAATTATCAGACCATAAGTTTAAAAAGCAGGATCCATTCATTATTGGTCAGGAGAAATAGCAGTTACAAAATTCATATCTCCGGAGTAAATAAAAAAGAACTACTAATAACTTTTTGTATGAAGTTTACTGCATCGTTATTAAAGAAAAAGCCCCGATATTCCTTTGCGAGTCCTTTTAAAGCCTCTGGAAATGCGGAGCTTCCAAGAAATGACGTCAGCCATTCCAGTTCGCTTTAAATATCTCCAGAACATTCTATAACTGTACGTGTAGAAAAGGCGGGAAAAACAACTTGACTACGGGGCTGCGGATTTAATTCCACGTACTTTCAAATAAGAGACCGTCGCCATTAAAAATGAAAAGAATATACAGTTAGAATTTTAAGTGTATTCTTGACTATGGAATTTTATTATTACATATATATATATATATATATTCTGCATTTGCTTGCTTTAATACAACCCTCACGTAATCACATGTTTTGCATTGCGTTTAAAATGTAATTTTTTAAGTGCTGTTTCATTGACACTTTCAGTTTCAGTCGCTAAAATAGTGCATTTTATAATATAAAATATTTTATATTAGATAAATATTTTAATAGACATATAAAATTAATTAAATTATTCCATTAACATTTGAACTTGTATGTCCCGCTTTTTCGTTTTAAAAAATTTTTTTTATTATTAATTGAGGCCTTAATAAAATGTGTGACGAATCGTTCACAGCTATTAATTTAATTTATTTACGTTACTCTGAAATTCACAAATTATTATAAATTATTTCTTTCTACGCCTTTTTTAAATCCATCATGGAAAAATATTAATGTCAATAAAAGGCGCATATTTTACCATCGGATATAATACAATCAATCGTCTCCAAGCAATATTGTTTTTAAATAACCACTTCTGGAAGTTACCAATATTTCTGAAACGTAAATAAGCATTAATATTCAATATCAACACTTCAAATAGACACCTCCCACAGAAGAAAAAATCACTTGAAACCGTACTGTCTCTCTCGTTCTAAGAAGTCAACGATAAGGCAGAGTATCATTTTGGAAATTTGATTCATAAATATCATCGGCTTTGATAAAATGTTTGCAACGATATAAAACATATCAGATAAAAGTGCTTCGAAAATACGTCTGTCAGTTTATGGAAAGGATTAAACAAAATCAGTAATATCTCTTTTCGAAATATGATAATGTATTTTTGAGACAGCTTGAAAGGAAGCTCGAAATGTGTCAACGATTTAAACACGTAATATTATGAAATGCATCTCTAATTGTCATCGCTTAAACACGTAATACTATGAAATGCATGACTAATTATCATCGCTAAATACTACACTTCGAAGAAAGTTATTACAAAATGATTTCGAACACTGAGTTTCGCTAAAATAGTGCATTTTATAATATAAAATATTTTATATACACATATAAAATTAATTTAATTAATTCCATTAACATTTGAACTTGTATGTCCCGCTTTTTAGTTTTAAAGAAATTTTTATTATTAATTGAGGCCTTAATAAAATTTGGGTACTTTTCTGTTATCGGGATTGGATTCAGAAATGCATGAATGTATGCATGTATGTTCGTACACATACATACATACATGCATACACACATACATTTCTGAATCCTATCCCGATAACAAAAAAGTACCAAAATTTTTCTGATATTACACAATTTTTATAATTTTATTTTCTAATTTCAAATTTTAGTCCTCTTAGAACTGTCCTTCCTAGAAAGGTAATGTTTGACCTACATGTATATATGTGAGGGAGGAAAATCGTGAGCGTGAAACGCGAAAGAATAATTGAAGATTTATTATAAATAAATGTATACAATTTTTATCCCAAAGTGCGTTAGCCTAAAAAGGCTATTAATTTCGTTTTGGCATTTTGCGTCGATTCACTATAAACGGCAAATCACTTTTCAAATTGTTGACATCAAATATTAGAGCCTTGTATTATATTTAAAGAAGTTAAATAAGGAAGAACCTGCATAAATGCATCTATGTTTCTCGCATTGTGATAAATCAACGGTACCTAGAGCCATCCAGTTTTGAGAAACGTAGTCCTCCACCGAATATGGGCATCTGAAAGCCCTAATTTGGAATTTGTTTTATTATCGATATCATATTTTGTAAAGCATTTACCAGTTTTTGATTAACAAACTCAACGATTTCAAAGCAAGCAATGGCAACACAACACTGTACGGGAAAAAATATTCTTATCTCCAACGGGCGAGACTGTGTATCAGAAATTCTAAAGATATGTTCATTTTAAAATTATTTTGCAATATTGCTGTTGAGCTGAATTTTATGGTTTAAGCGCGAAGAATATGATATTTAATAAATAAAGGTAACAAACAAAACGTTAAAAAAAAGTTCCTTTGGGCGTAAGGTAAAATCTGAAAGATTTCAATTTTTTACTTTAATAATTTTCTACTCGAAAATAAATACATGTAATTATTGTAAAATCTGAAAGATTTCAATTTTTTACTTTAATAATTTTCTACTCGAAAATAAATACATGTAATTATTATAATAAAAGGAGAAAAAGTCAAAACTCTGCGGTCCTCCAAAAGCTGTCTCCTGAACCTTAATTGATGCAGAGCAGAAAATCGAATGTTTTGTATTAACATTCAATATAACTTCGATACTTAATTTAGATCACGCTAAAAATTGGTTCCGAAACGGAAATGCAAGAACGTATTAATATCAATAACATGTTATACTTACTGGAATCTTGGACAAGATAGCCTCTGGAAGTGACTAGATGTATCATGAATGCTAGTAATACAATAGCAGATACAAAAAAATGGTAACATTTCACGTTTCGGCCCATTTTCAGTCCAAACAGTTGTAAAACCGTTCAGAGATTTTTTGAAGCTGAGCAGAAGAACTGCTTTGTGGAAGGAAAAAGAAAAACCCGGACGGAAGCACTTGCTTCTTCAGCAGGACATTGAGAACATCATTGTGAAGAGTTTATCAGTTACTCGGTCAGTATGATACCGCCTCCACACAAAACCACTGACGTGATGTCAACACTACTGTTGCAAGCCTCGTTAAAAGTGATATGTGTAATAGTCGGCGGAGAGCGTGGTTTAAAAGCGTTGGGAAGGGATTTTGAAGTAGACAGTTAAGACATGTGATATTTTTATGAGGTTTCTCCCAGCTTTTAATTTTTTTTTCCCCCCGATTTATTATCGTCGTCAACATCCTCATTTCTTTCATCTGCCAGTTTTCATCTCCAACGGAAGTGACTCGGTTTAATAAGATTACTTTCCGGTGGTCGAGATTTGGAAATTTTTCGGGTGTATTAAAAGAACAATATCGTATTTTTTTTAATGAGTGATCACAGCGAAGAAGAGGTTGGCCTGGAAGACTTTTCGTGGTTTTTCCTTTGTATAACGAATATAAGATCCAGGTTCTTTCTCATACAGTCATTCCGGAAGGCATTCCTCTAACTCCCAATAAAACCCCATGGCCTTTGTGTGCTCTTACCAGAGCTGATTATAAATGGTCTAAAAGATAATCATTTCAGTAAAAGACAAAGGAAATGCTTTCATACACGTGTATTAGTCAAAAATATATCTCTTGAAATACTTAGAAAATAAATGAATGGCTGTAACTTCAACATATTGTAAGTATTTTTTAAATTTCAATAACCATAGAACGGCAGTTATCTCAGAGCATAGCAGTATGCTTTGAACATAGTTCGGAACTGTTTATGTCCTTATTTCTTCAAGGATATTTCGAAGCCTGTTTATGCCTGTGTGTTTCAAATCATTACGATTCAGAACTATTATCTAAATTCACCTATAGACACATTAGGTTATTTCGAAGCAGGAGACATGAAAAATGAGCCATGCCCTCGCCGGTTGTCCAGCCTCGGATCTCTTGACACTATAAAAGCCCAAACGTCAAGACCGATACACTGTCCCACACTTATTTTATGACGCAGTTTCTAACGGGACACGGCCCATTCCTCACGTACAAATTTCGCTTTGGATTCATAGATAATGACACCTGCGAATGTGGTGACCCTCACCATCTCTTCTTTTCATGCACCCTCAGAGCCCAGTACAGGCTCAAAAAGCCTAATGACAATTACTGGTCCCAAAAGTTCCAAACTACAAAGAGACTAAGACAAGACCAGCTAAAGATCAAGGCTGTAATAGATAAATGCGTAATAATGTACAGGGCAGAGCACAGCAACAATTTGCAGTAACGATCATAGTGATCCACTTGAAAGCCCTTAGGGCTCAGTGTATACACACCGGCAGACATTTGCTGGCTGGGCACATCGTATCTCTGTGACTATGGCCAACACTGACTCATCAAACCTTACTAATTAGAGGCATTAGCTACAGCACAGCTACCTACTTTTGATTGTCAAGTGGTAGTTACATTGTAATACATCACCTTCAAATGGAGGTGTGCACTAGCACATGAACGACAGCACACAATGCTTAAATCTCAACTAATGTATACTCGTAAAGCTCCTACACTGTTCTGTACCCTGTTGGTGGTAACCACTAGCATTTCTCTACATATTCTTTGAATTTCTATATATATATATAATTGTACCAATACCATAAGAATGTCTATTATTAACTTTGTAACTCTATGTAAATCTACGCACTTGTACCTCTTAATCATATGTACTGCAACAACAGTGTATGTATTTTCATATTCAGTTGTATTGCCCTATTACTATATTTATGCAGTATGACAATGGAAAGCAACTCTTCAAGGGCCCCGTAACTGTGCCCAAATTGAGAACCCCTCTTTGTTTCTCTATATATAATTGTACCAATATCATACGAATGTCTATTATTAACTTTGTAACTCTATGTAAATCTACGCACTTGTACCTCTTAATCATATGTACTGCAACAACAGTGTATGTATTTTCATATTCAGTTGTAATCCCCTATTACTTGATTTATGCAGTATGACAATAGAATGTTAGCAACTCTTCAAGGGCCCCGTAACCGTGCCCATGTTGTGAACCCTTCTTCTTCTTCTTCTTCTTTTTTTTTTTTTTTTTTTTTTTTTTAGTAATAGAACATGGGTATACCCAGGATATATCCGGGGCGGAACCCAGCTCTGCTGCTTAAATTATAAAAGCCTTTAATTTTTATTTAATGACAGAATTTCACTGCTACAAAATGGCTTATTATTGCAAAAATAAAACTTTGTAACAAAAGTTTTAAACATAGTTCTCGGACTCGTGTAGTTAGTCTAATTGCCTTAAATTTATGTGATGAGTATCATGTTTAGATACCCGTACACTCTAACTACAATTTTCAGTCTTCTGAACATTCATAATTTTGTTTGGAAAAATACTGCCGTCATTTTAATACGATAAGGTAACAAGGTGCATCGTATTCAAGTAGGAAAAGCAAACGGGAATGGGTAAGCAGGTCTGAGCAACCCTTTATATTCATTACGCTCCCAAAGTAAGCAAATGCATTTCATATTGTTTCCGGTATATCTTTTTCCGTAAAAGGAAATAAACCATAAGGAAAAGGTGGTCATCTAACTACACATCTATCCCCAGCTTAAGCTTGCAACTCTGGCAAGGAACTAAAGCCCCTTCGATTGCTTTAAAACAAGTTTTAAGGATTATCATGGAAGCTCCATATTTCATGAGAAACGTAGAGCTTTGCAGAGATCTTAAGTCCTTCTTAGTGTTAACGAATAATTATTCAGGAAAGCTGTAGTTTGCGATACTGTCTGCTAAAGGCATGTCGATTAAGAAGTAGAACTGGATGACCACCAGCTTAGACTATGTGATGCGTATATGATCAGAAGCATTACTCTTCATCTCTTCCTAAGTGAACAAGAGAATGAATCTAGAATATTCTACACACTTCCAGGCATCTACCTCTTTCTTCAGCCCTTAAATCCCAATTGCTTTACAAAAATTGAAGTTCAAGAAATTTTCTTTGCCAGGTCCTTAAAAGATTTCGCTAAGTTAGTCTAGCAATTTTACATAAAGTTATGGTGTCACTCTTCATTAAAAGTTTATACAGGACTGGACTCAAATGTCGGCAACTTGTCGCCAAAAATTCGTTGCCAAGACCATCGCAATATTTCGCCAATTTATCGAGATCGTCATTTATCTCAATGTTAATTAGTCTTGCCCTGTAATCTTATTTTTCCAGCAGTGTTTCGACTCTTCAGATTTTCATGTTACATTATACAAAAGATACTACAGTTTTAAACAAAGCTTCACTAAAATTATTAACATATATACAAAAATTGGTAATCATATAATAATTTTTAGTTTTAGCTAATGAAAATTTACTTTAAATAATTGTAAGATAGCAAAGTATGAAATTACTTAAAAAAACTGTTAAGATTTTTTCACTTTTAGTTAAGGAAATTGCATGCTGAATTCATGTATATAACGCACATTTGATTATTCTGTTGCCTAATTTTCGTACGGAATAGCGTTTTCTGGCGTATATAATTTTATGGTTAATCTATTTCTACATCATTTGTTACATTTGTTGAAAATGGATGAAAGTAGCCTGAAAAATCATGCCCTAATAGAGAAAATATAAATTAGATTCTGAATATTCCAGCAAATAATTCACAACAATTAAAGTAAAACTTCAAATTCAAAAATTTCCACTCTGTTATATCAAAGACTAATTTATAAAAAATATTAGCATGTAAAATTTCTTAAAACTAAAATGACATTCTTTTATATCATACGCTAATAATAATTTTATAAAAAAAAGCACTACTCAAAGAGGCAGTTCTAAAATAAATTTCCCTTGTAGATAAGTTTTTAGCTACATCTCAAAAATAAAGACGCAGAGAGAAGTTCTGTTTTTTTTTTTTTTTTTTTTACACGCTGAACTGCTTTTTTACAATTTTCCAATACAGCTAAGAAAGATGATTTACAAAGACTCAAAATATAAAAACCTAGTAAATTGGCATACTTTACCCATAAAAAGTTATCTGTAACAAACTACGCATTTGTTATGAACTTGAGTTTCGTTCTATTATTTACCGTTAAAATTTTGATAATTTTTAAAGCGTCTTAGCCAAAATTCTATTCGCACATTATTAATAGAATTTTATGAATTTCATGTGATATAGTAATTGGAAGACAGACAGATTAGAAATGTTTTGATAAGTTTCGTCTGTATTATTAAAAAAAAAATTTTAAAAAAAGACGTTAAATTGAAAATTTTAAATAGTCTTCTTTAGCTTAGATGTTCAATGCTTTAAATTATTTAAATTTTTATTTCTTAAAAATAGTTGACAATTGTTTGTTTTTTAATGATTACTGACAGTAAAATATTTCTTTGAATTTATTAAAATGTTATATATTTGTTTGTTATAACTATGAAGAATTCTTAATGTCACAGATATGGAAATAGTTATCAGAAAAGAAAAAAAAAAAAAAGTGGAACAAAAATGAAATCCCAAAACAACGTTTTTTTAAAATATTAATTACTCTAAAAATAAGATATTGTTTAGTACTACAAACTAATGAGCTATATTATCTTTATTTTAAAAAACATTAATCCTTTGGGAAATTATTAAAAATTTCTCATTACAGTTTTCTCATGTCCTTGAGTTGAAATAAATGTTTGCAACATAACGAAAGTTTCATTTATAAAAATCAAAAACTTCTTGATTTTTGTGCTTGGAAAAAAACATAAGAGCATTAAAATTATAATCAGTTTCTTTATGAAAAGGAAGCGTTAAAAAAATCCAGAATCTTTCTTTTAAAAATGTAATATTTTAAAAAACATATATAATTGGTTTTAGCATTAAGAATGGTTTTATTTTCCAAAAAACGAAAATTAACAATTCATTTTTAATACTTTGGGAGATTATTAAAAATTTCGCATTACAGTTTTTCTCATGCCCTTGAGTTGAAACAAATATTTACAACAATTTCATTTATAACAATGAAAAACTTCTTGATCTGCCGGCTTGAATAAAATAAGAGCATTAGAATTATAAACAGTTTCTTTATGAAAGGAAAGCGTTAAAAAAAATCCAGAATCTTTCTTTTAAAAACGGTAATATTTAAAACA